CACTATCATGGATGCATCATCATCTATATACAGTGCTAGTGACTATCCATATTCCTATACTTATTACATCAGCAGTCAAGGTAGATACGGGTAAGTCTACATAGAGTAGTTGTCTACAAGGTATATCACCTATCATGGATTCATCATCATCTATATACAGTGCTAGTGACTTGTACATATGATTAATTTGAATTATAAATACTCGGCCTCCAGCCAGTACACACAAAAAATAATACAATTGGAGTATACAAATTATAAATGAACACAGATATACACAAAAAAAACCAGCCAATTAAAATTAAAATTACTTATTAATTTTGCGTAATTTCTCTGATGTCCTGTATGCAAGGAAGCACATATTTTTCAACGCACTAGCATATACATGTATAGTGCCCTTTACAGAGATAAATTTACCATGTTTTTTGAGTGATTAATTTATTGACTAGTAAGTATTTCACTCACAAATCCCGTAAAGCAGGGTATATTAGAAGAAAGCGGTATTCGTCTTCCACATCAGTACCGTTGCTTACTTTACACAACCTAGTAGACAATGCTTTCATGTCGTTCTACTTTTATTGGTGGGCACATGTACAACAGGCTTGCCAAAGCGTGAATAAATTTACAATAGAGTAAAAAGTATGTGTTTTTTTAGGCTGTGATTCTTTTTCATTATTTGTGTACGTACATATGCAATGAGTTAGTTAGTCAAGATACGGTAGATATGGGCAAGTTCAAGTTTGGTACTACATGTATGAGGTTACCTAGAGGTTCCTGAGATACCACCTTTTCAATAAGAGCTGTAAATTTTAGCATGGGATTCATGCCTGAGTTTAGTGATGGGAGTCCATTTCTGTACCATCCTGTTTTGTATAGGATTTTACGGATGACTAGAATCAATTGTTTGCGATGCCAGATGTGTAATAAATTAATAAATAATATCTGTATGTTGTTTTGTATAAAATGAAAATTTTTTTTTCATGGGAAATCGAAAATTATGTTCATTTGTACCTAGCTAGAATTATTCTAGAAAAATATGTGAAATATTGGCGATAAAAATTATCGTGTGTACATGATATTCATAGAATAAAAATATATCCTGACTTGCTCACATGACCTCTCCTCATCATGTATTTGTAACAATGTATTTAAATGACAGCTGATAGATAAAACAGAGGTCACTATACTCAACAGATTTTGAATTAGATTGTAATGAACTTGACCTTTAACTCTAGATATGAAACCAAGGCAAAATAAAAAGGGAACGATGAAATAAATATGTATTGGTTTTTTACTTTAAGATGAGCACCATTTATAATTGGCAAAACAATATTGTTATGATTTGGTGATTATTGTTTTTGTTATCTGTATCTCTTATTGAATTGCACACAAATCAAAAATTGGATATGTTTTACATTGAATCCTTACAATGACTTAGGTTGACCATGTCATTTACGTAAGTGCATATTATAATGAAGCAAACCAAATTTGGTCTGTTAGATGCGCACATGCACAGCAATAATTGTGTCCAGAAGAATTGCTGTAAAATACTTTCGCTTGGAATTCATTTTCGCTATTTTAGCTGAAGGAATGATACAGTGAAAATAAAATCCAGTGAATATACATTTTTACTTATATTTTACATTCAACTTGTCAGATATCAGTGAAATAAAATCTTGTTTTGTTTTAAAAATGTTTTTGTGCCCAGTGACAGTTCTGGACATTGAATGTCACTGTTGTATCTCCTGACTTTTTTTTCGTATGTGCAAGTTGCAAGTGCTAGTGCTGACATATAGTGCATTTTTGCCACATAAGTCATATTCATGTTTGGGACTACTTGATAGAGCTGTGCGGCCAGCACATGTCATGTCAGTGTTTTTTTTTTTTTTGAAACCTACAATAACAAAAGTTAAATTGGGAACAGAAAATGTAAATAATGTTTTTGACACACTCGTAACCCCCCCCCCCCCCTGATCATTGATTTCTTAGTGGTTTAGTTGGTCACCTGTACTACTAGTACTTGTCTTATCTTTAGCGCAATAGTTTCAGTGCAACACTGAATACATTTCCTGCACACACCTTTTGAATTGTATGTTTATGATCATCGTCTTTTTTTCTTCCACACTTAGGTTTTGTAGGACTAGTGAATCAAGCTATGACCTGCTACCTCAACAGTCTGCTACAAACACTTTACATGACCCCAGAGTTCAGGAATGCCCTCTACAGGTGAATAATGTTAATCTTTCCTTTTTTTCTTTCTAAAAAGTCTAGCGTTTGTGGTGAAAAACGCTGGGTTGGTTGTGTTCAGAATAGTGATGGGCTTCCACTAAAGATTGAATAGTTTACCCATGATAGTTGATACTACATTTTACATTTTTTTAATTAATAATCAGCTTGTTTAGTCAATTCACAAAAAGGGAGACAATAAATAATATTATGATCTAAGTCTAAAACTTGGCAGCTCGGTGTTTTCGCTAGATAGTAAATAAGTCTTGTTTCAATTACTCAGACTATACGACTTCTATGTGTGTTCATTTCCCTGTCAGCTGGTGTGTGCCCATTTATTCCTCCTCGAGAGTAGTGAAAAAAATAAATCTTAATAAGAAAAGCAATTCATGGTAAAAAGAAATTTTGATTCATTTATTGAATACTGGACCATTAAAATATGACATAATCACTATGGACAAACCTGTCATTTGGATAGCATGTGTTACTATTAGAGCAAATACTGTGTACAAAAACTCTCGGTAAAAAAGTAACATGATGGGTGAGATACAAGATAAGATGACCACACTAGTCAGAAATACCGTAATTGCTTTATTGAAGGCACATCTCTGAAATAAGATGTTAATTTCATTGTATGCTGGATCATTAAAAGGACTTATTTTGACCATTTTTACACTTCATTTACATATATTTAGTATATACAATATTAATTGCGCAAATATGGTGAATGTGTTAATCAATCACTGGTTTAAATTTAAGTAAAATCTGCAAAGTTAAATCGATGTGAACAAGTAAAACAATTTCCCTCCTGAGTTTGTGAAATTTAAAATCCAGTGAAATTGCTTGAAGCATTAACATAGTGGAATTAAATGCCAGTGAAAAATGGTTTTACAGTGTATGCCCCCATCCCGACATGCTGATAATCAAGAACCATGCCCTTTCTTAATCATACTTTCTTTCTCAGATGGGAGTTTGATGCTACTGAAGAGGAAGAGATGACAAGCATCCCGTTTCAACTCCAAAAACTGTTTATACAAATGCAGACTAGCAAGAAGAAGTCAGTGGAGACGACGGAAGTCACAAAAAGCTTTGGATGGGACAGCAGTGAAGGTGGGCCGATTGAATCAGTTATATCTGCTTGTCTGCTACCTCAACAGTCAACAAAAGTAGATCATCAATCAATTGTCTTTGCAACTTAGAAAGCATGTTATCTGAATCACTAAATTTGCTAAATGTGAATGCCCAGATTTGATTCAACAACGCAGAATAGTGTGGTCTTGATGTAAGATTTTCAATCTGTCCTATATTATGTGGAAATGACCACAATATTTTATCTTAGTTTGACGTCAACAAACATGAGTAGCAGTTGGCGAGAATTTATGCTACTCTGGCGACAATCATGTGCGCCTTGTATGCTAATGTTGTTGACGCCACGGTGTGCTGTTTCACAAGAACATGTGTGTGGCAACATTACTTGTGCATGATATTTGAAAAAATATTTTGGAGGAACCAAACAAGAAATCCCCAAATTTATATACATGTACAAGTTTGCGAAAATGAACCATTTTTAACACAATACAGGGTTTTACGAACCTTATATAAACCAGATACTTATGAATCTTCAGGCAGTGCATACAGAGAAAAATAGTATGTGATATACATGTAGAACTATGTGATATGCATATTCATCTATTCTGTGTTAAGAAATTCTTTCTTAATTTTCTTTCTCTCTTCTAACTTGTGTATCTTACATAAAGTTGACTGTTCTATTTAGAAACCTTGTCGCTATATAACAGGTGGTACTTTGTTTTCAGCTTGGCAACAGCACGATGTGCAGGAACTATGTCGTGTCATGTTTGACGCTTTAGAGACAAAGTTTAAGAACACAGAACAATCTGATTTGATTAATCAGTTGTACCAAGGCAAAATGAAAGATTATGTCAAGTGTTTGGAGGTAGGTTAAGCAACCACCATCCAACCTCCATCCTACAACCACCCTAATGCCACCCAACCCTATCTCCACTAAACTATACCATACCAAGGCAAAATGAAAGACTATGTCAAGTGTTCAGATGTACGACCAACGTCCCTACAACTCCTTCCAACCCATCTTAATTATTAAATTTGATTAATCACCCCTTACGCCACCCCATCACCACCCTCCACTTAACTATTGAATTTGATAAATCAGTTGTACCAAAGAGGAAAAGTATCTGGAAGTAAGACAAATCACCCTTCCCACCCTTCTTCTGAACATAACTTGAAAATGCATGTAATAACTGTCAAATTTACATCTGGTAATGATAACATTTCATGTTTCATTTCAGTGTGGTTATGAGAGTGCAAGAACCGATTCCTTCCTTGATATTCCTCTAACCATTAGACCATTTGGTTCAACACAGTCTTTTTTAAGTGTGGTAAGTTATTTCTCCTTTTGACACCTTAATAGATTTACCGTTGCCATGTAACGAACCAAAGTCTGTATTCTGACATTGTGTTACATTAACGACACTCAGAAATAGAGATCGGCTACTGCTGTCTTTTCTTGGGATTTGAAGGGAATACAAAATCAATGTGTTTTTTATTTACACTATTGATGTGCTCTATCAATGGAGTATTACTTTACAGTGTTCCATTGGCCCTATCCCTGCATGTCATTTTGACATTTAGTTATGATAATTATGTAACATTTCATGTTTTCTGTTTGAGTTTGTGGCATAACAATCAAAGGATGACTATTATATTCTCATTGCAGGGCCAGGCATTACATGCATTGGTCTAATCAGAATCTTCTGATCACAGATTATTTAACTACCGGTATTCTCATTACAGAGCCAGGCACTACATGCATTTGTCCAATCAGAATCCTCTGATTACATATTACTAACTATTCTCATTGCAGGGCCAGGCACTAAATGCATTTGTCCAACCAGAATCCTTTGATTACATATTACTAACTATTCTCATTGCAGGGCCAGGCACTACATGCATTTGTCCAACCAGAATCCTCTGATTACATTTTATTTAACTATTCTTATTACAGGGCCAGGCACTACATGTATTGGTCTAATCAGCAACCTCTGACAGTAGTACACATTTATTCTCATTGCAGGGCCAGGCATTACATGCATTGGTCCAATCAGAATCCTCTGATTACATATTATTTAACTATTCTCATTACAGGGCCAGGCACTACATGCATTTGTCCAACCAGAAACTTTAGAAGGTAGTAATCAGGTGGGTACAAGTACAAGTCTTGTCACTTTCAGTCAGTTTACAGTTTGGGTAATTTACATGAGATGGCCCATCACAAATAAATTGGATGTGTATTGAATTCATATAACTTGCAAATGTGAAACTTGTTCTGATTAATGAGTACAATATTGTTTAACATAGTGCTTCACCTACTGACACCAAAGGGAACTTTTCCACAAGTTTAGTTTTGTCCTAAATATGTTTTTATTAGCCTTGCTAGCTTTGCAACTGATTTTGTTACTGAGGCTTATTTGTTTAATATTTTTTGACCACCTGAGGGCGCCATATACTGTGCATCTTATCCTCTGGGGCGGAGCTATGTCAGAAGACGTTCCACGTTGCTAAGACACGCACCACTCTTCCATGTATTTCTATGGGCTCTGCGCGCGCTGCTGAGGAACACAGAACGCCGAGCGAAGAGCCAGTGAAAATTTGAGAAAACAACAGGAACTCAACTTTGAAGTAATCCTGAACAATCAAATTTATATGCGTTACACATGTAGGGATAATCTTGTTACACTGTTCAGGGGAGTCTCAACAACCATCCCAAAGTACTGTTTTTTTGAGAGTTTTTGGCCTTTGTTTTCACTGTTATGGTTGCCATCCGGTGAAAATGCCCGAATGTCCGCCCTCGAGAATTGCTGGTTCTCATGATACTATGACAATGCTGATACTGTATTGTCACTGGCTTTCTTAAGCGGGAATTTCACTATTTTTTTTTTACAGTATTTCTGTGAGAAGTGCAATAAGAAGTGCGATGCTCACAAAGGATTGAAGTTCTTGAAGTTCCCATATTTACTAACATTGCAACTGAAACGATTTGACTTTGACTACACTACTATGCACAGAATCAAATTGAATGACCAGTAAGTACACTAAAAACTTAAACCAATGCTCGAGAATAAAAGGACTTGGCACTGACATTATTATGTGTTATAAATCACTACTATAATAATTAGAGTTTTGACATTATCACACAGCGACAAATTGTGGTCGACAAAACACAGCAATGACAATTGTGTCTGAAGGTACAGTGTGTTAACTGTTTCATCACGACTTCCCTCTTTTCATCACAAATTCACAAAATACTCCTGTTTATAGTCTGTACTTTCCTTCTGAAAATTGGGACAAAAATAGCCAAATTTTTTGAGTTAAAACTAAAAATTGATTAAAATTTTGTCTGTTGGCTCCAAAATTGGGATTCATTTCCAGAAATATTAAAGAATATATAAAAAAAAAGTGCAAAACAATTTGGGTGGGAAAGTCTGGTGGTGAAAATTCAGATAATTGTTATAAAATGTATACTACATACTAACAATGTGTTATTTCATTTCAGGATGACGTTTCCAGAGATTATTGATCTAAGTCATTTCATCACAGATGATATTAAGGTAAAAAATAGTCATCTTGGGTTCTTAACCTTTTATGTACAATAATTTGCATAATATTGTCTGTTTTTATGTATTTTTTTGATCATAATTTTAGAAAAATTATGCGAGTTTGAAATTTGAGAATGGTGACAAAAAATGGCTGGTGCTCAAAGGATTTAATGCATATCATAAAATATGTACTGTACTGTTCGACCATTTTTTTTAAGAATTGCTGAATTATAGGAATAAAAAATAAATGGTTGAGTTTATGAAAAACGAAAAGGGGATTTCATTCACTATTCATTTTTATCAAGGAACAATGAATTTCTATGAAAAACAAAAATATGTTGAGTGAACTGAATCAACCATGATAAAAACATGCTGCATCACCTAGTTGACCTTTGACCCAACCTTTGACCCAGTAGAGATTACTCACTAACCAATCAGAATGATTAAAAATACCATTTACTATTTATTGATACACCAAGCGTAAAAGAAATTTCCAGGATGTTTTCTAATCTTGATTTATCCACTTTTTAGCTCCGCTGTCGAGCGGAGCTTATCATATGAGTGATTGTCCGTCGTCGTCGTCGTCGTCCGCGTCAATGTTTTACTTTTTCGACTTCTTGAAAACTACAAGCCTGAATGCTTTGATACTTGGTGTATATGTACCTTGGGGAGACCTCTCTTAGGTTTGTTCATTTCATGTTGATATCTTCAATTCTCTAATTTTGGTGAATATTTTTGTCATTTTTGGTAAAAAGTGATATTTTCGACTTCTTGTTAAAAACCGCAAGTCCAATTGCTTTGATACTACACATATAGGTACTACATGTGGACCTCTCTCAGATTTGTTCATTTCGTGATGATATCTTCAATTCTCTAATTTTGGTGAATATTTTTGTCATTTTTGGTAAAAGTGATATTTTCGACTTCTTGTTAAAAACCGCAAGTCCGATTGCTTTGATATTACATATATACAGTACAGTTCTCGCGGAAGCTTTGGCTTTTGTGGCATCATTGTCGCCTACGCATGGCTTCATTGTCGCCTCAGCATCGCATCATTGTGGCATCAGCTTCGCGTCATTGAAAATTGAAGCTGTGTTCGCCTCGCTATTTTGTGGCATCATCGTGGCCTCAGCTTCGCAGTCTCATGGCATCAACATGGCATCAGCTTCAACTTATTGTGACATGAGTATGACCTCATTATTTGCACGCAGAAGGGCAGTAGACAAAAACATGTACAGAAGTTCGATATGTAATCGATTTGAAATTCAAGGCGAATAAAATAATATGATCAAGAGTAAAATGACATTTTAAAAAGATATCTTGTTTAATTATTTTAGTGTTGCGAGTATTGGGCACCAACAACTTTGCGAAGTACATTACAATCGGCAAGGTGACGAGTTCCATATTGACTAGAAGGAAAATCGTGATAAATTCAAATCACACGATGCAATCGTCGTTCTGATACAACACAATTTGCTGTATACGAAGTGAAACTGTTCTTGTTATAAAATTTACCGTTTTTCGCTCATTTTATTTGCTGCTAGAAGAGCAGATTCAGATTCCTCATTTCGGTGGTATTTTTCTGTGTTTCGTTTAGTTTTAGCCGAGTCCGACCCCATGCCCGGACTACTAAAACACGAGTATGCCGCCTGGAGCGTCGGCGTCGTCGCCAGTCATCTTGATACAAAGTTCCAAAACAAGTGCGTACATTTCCAACATATGATTGGATGGTTGTAGTGGCGTCGGTCTGGTAAAATTTGACAACCAATTCTCAAAATTAAGTCACGATCAGTGATCTGAGCTCGATCTATATGTACTTTAAAAGTATTCTCACAAACATATTTTCGAATGAAAACGAGCCACATGCCCTGTAAAAAATCAAACAGCGCTTGACATGCAGAAATATTTTATTGGGCTTCAGAAAAAAAACGTGTCCATTTAGTGGTGACCAGCCGATGAACAATTTGAAAATCATGATTCACACGGAAGTCCTTCGATACTGAAAATTATCGACCCCAGTCTGGTTTACCTTATTTCCCAACTTGCAAAACTGATTTGTATCTCGGCCCTGTTTTTTTTTCTTTCTTTTTTTGAACTGAGGTAAAATCACATCCGTTTGTCAAAATATACCGATGTTTTTCAGTGAATAATTGTGAAGCCTGTCAAGGCACAAACAAAACTTTGTGAATCGACGATGGAGATTGGATGGTACGACGACCCTTCAATTTGCGTTAAATATGTTTTGTTACAACATCATTGATTGGCTGAAAGTCACCTGATCGGAGCACGACCTGGGTCACAGAACCATATTTGTCCGTATTATCATGGAACTATAGTTCCATGGTATTATCAACAGGACTTTGCGAAAAAACCACACCCACATTTTCAACCATTTTAGCGCGGAAGTTGCCAACAAATGTCGAAAACTCGTGAATTTTATGAATTCGAATAAAATAAAGCTAGCGATTCGTAAGACTGGTTAATAATATATCCCCCGATGCTCTTCGATTTTTTTTTATTTCAAGGTGAGAAATTGATACTAGTAGTTGAAGTTCCATCGATTTCAAGGCGACTATTTATTGATGAAC